AGAAATCATAAAGATCTAGTAAACACTAAAATAGCAATGAAAGAAATGGTAAGAAAATCCATAAACCAAATGAACTCAGCACAGAAAAATATATAAAGCAAAGAGATCAGCACCACACACATCCCCAGCAAAATGACAGCAGTAAATTCATACCTATCAATAATTACACTGAATGTAAATGGATTAAATGCACAAGTCAAGAGACAAGAGTAGCAGAATGGAGATGAAAACATGACCCATCAATATACTGTTCATAAGAGACATGCCTTAGACAAAGAAATAAAAAAAAAAATTAGGCTAAAAATCAAAGGATGGAAAAACATATATCAAGCAAATGGCAATAAAAAAGAGCAGGAATGGCTATGTTAATTTCTGATAAAATAGACTTTAATGCAAAAACCATCAAAAGAGACATTATATAATGATTAAATGGTCAATTGATCAGTAGGACATAACCATAATAAATACCTATGCACCCAATGAGAGAGCCCCAAAATAAATAAATACAATTTTAACAGAACTGAGAAAAAAAATACACACTCCAAAATAGTAGGAAACTTTCATATACCACTCTCAATGAAAGGCACAACAACTAGAAAGAAACTCAACAAAGACACAGAATAGGTAAACAGTGTGATCAACTAACTTAACCTCCTAGACATGTACAGAACATTTCACCCAACAAAGCACAATATACATTATTTTCCAGGTCACATGAAACACTCTCCAGAATAGACCAAATTTTAGGCCACAAGGAAAGTCTCAATAAATTTAAAAACTCAGAATACTTTAAAGCATCTTCTCCGATCATAATGTTATAGAATTAGAAATCAACAAAAGGAAGACCAAGGGAAAAAAATAAAATACATGGAATTATAGAACATCCTACTTAAAAACTACTGGGTAATAGAAGAAATAAAAATTGAAATAAAAACAATTCCTTGAATCAAATGAGACTGAAAACACAATATACCAAAACCTTTGGTATGCAACAAAAGCAGTGCTAAGAGGATAATTTATAGCAATAAACATACACATCAGAAAAGAAGAAAGAACCAAAATCAATACCTTAATCCAGCAGCTCTAAAAATTGGAGAAAGAACAGCAAAAAAAAAAAAAAAAACCCACAGTCACCAGAAGAAAGGAAATAATAGATTCTAACAGAAATAAATGAGGCAGAAAAAAATAGAAATAATCAACAAGACTAGAAGTTAGGTCTTGGATTAACAAAATTGGCAAATTTAACAAAGGAAAGAAGGAGAAGATGCAAATGACACAAAAAATAAATGAAATGGGTGACACCACAACAGAACCTACCGAAATAAAAAGGATAACAGGATACTATGCAGAACTATACTCCAGCAAATTTGAAAACTTAGGAGCGGACATATTTCTAAAAACACAGGACCTACTTAAACTAACACAGACTGAGGTAAGAAATTTGAACAGACCCATAACAAAAGAATACATTGAACAGGTCATAAAAAAACCAAACAAACAAAAAAACCTCCCAACAAAAAAATGTCCTGGGCCAGATAGCTTCACTGGTAAATTCTACCAAACACTTAGAGAACAGCTGATACAGATTCTAGTCAAATTATCCCAGAAAAAGAGAGAGTACTCCTGAATTCATTCAATGAAGCAAGTAAAACCCTGATACCAAAGCCAGGAAAAGACAATACCAACAAAAAAGACAATTACAGACCAATACCCCTCATGAACATAGATGCAAAATTCTCAACAAAGTACTAGTTATTAGAATCCAACAACATATCCAAAAAAATATATATATATATCATAACCAAGTGATATACATACCAGTTATGCAAAGATGCTTCAATATTAGAAAAATAATCAACATAATCCACCACATAAATGAAACAAAAGAACTACATGATCATATCAATCAATACAGAAAAGGCATTTGACAAAATCCAGCATTCATTCCTGATAAAAATACTCAACAAAATAGGAGTGGAAGTAAAATTCCTCAACATAATTAAGGCATATATACAAAACCAACGGCCAACGTTAGTCTCAAAAGAGAGAAACTGAAAATATTTCCCTTGTGAACAGGAACCAGATAAGGATGCTTATTATCTTCACTCCTATTCAATATTGTATTGGAATGCCTACCCAGAGCAATCAAGCAAGAAAGGGAAATAAATGTCATCCAAATTAGCAAAGAAGTAAAATTATCTCTATTCACAAATGATACGATCCTATATATACAAAATCTCAACAAGAAAACTACTGGAACTTACAGAAGGATCCACCAAAATGGCAGGGTACAAGATCAACAAACAAAAATCAGTCAGAGTCCTTTACATTAAAAAAGAGAACTCAGGAAATCAGGAAAACAATACCATTCACGATAGCCACTCAACACAAGAAATACTTAGGAATAAATCTAACCAGAGATACAAAAAATGCTATACAAAGAAAACTACAAAACACTATTACAAGAAACCAAAAGAGATCTACATCAATGGAAGAATAGATTATACAGATAGGCAGGTCAGTATTACCCAAAGCAATCTACAGATACAATGCAATCCCAATCCATCATCATTCTTTAAAGAGATGGAAAAATTAATCACCAAATTTTTGTTGAATAAAAGAGACCTAATATAAAGACATAAAAAAAAGAGGGGCAAAGGAATTGAATAGACATTTCAAAAGATGATATAAAAATGGCCAATAAGCACATGAAAAGATGCTCAATACCATTAGTCATTGTTGTTGTTAGGTTCTGACTCATAATGATCACATGCACAAAAGCATGAAACATTGCCTGGTCCTGTGCCATCTTCACAATTGTTACGTTTGAGCTCACTGTTGTAGCCACTGTGTCTGTACATCTAATTGAGGGTCTTCCTCTTTTTTGCTAACCCTCTACTTTTCCAAGAATGATGTCCTCCAGGAAGCAGTCCCTCCTGATAAGTCCAAACTACATGAGACCAAGTCTCACCATCCCTGCTTCTAAGGAGCATTCTGGCTGTACTCCTTCCAAGACAGATTTGTTGTTTGTTCGTCTGGCAGTCCATGGTATAATCAATATTCTTCACCAACACCATAATTCAAAGGCATTAATTCTTCTTCAGTCTTCTTTATTCATTGTCCACCTTTTGCATGCATATGGCAAAACAAACCAAACTCACTGCCATCGAGTCGGATCCAACTCATACCGACCCCTCCTTGGGTTTCCAAGGCAGTGTCTCTATGGAAGTAGATTGCCCAAGGTGACTGAAAATGTCATAGGTTGGGTCAGGCACACCTTAGTCCTCAAAGTGATATCTTCGCTTTTAACACTTTAAAGAGATCTTTTGCAGCATTTGATTTCTTGAGTGCTCCCTCCATGGATGTTGATTGTGGATCCAAACAAAATTAGGGAACTATAAAGAGATACAACTTCACACCCACTATGGAAAAAACAAAAACCAGAAACTAGAAAATCTTGGTCACTCCTCGGAAGGAAGGTTGGGCAATCCTACTTCCGTAGTGATACTGCCTCGGAAACCCAAGGAGGGGTCGCTATGAGTCGGGGCCGACTCGACGGCACATAACAACAACAACAACATGTAAAGAAATTAGAACTTTCATGTGTTTCTAATGGGAATATAAAATAGTGCAGATGCTTTGGAAAACAGTTTGGCAGTTCCTCAAAAAATCAAACAGAGAATTATCATATGATCTGGCTATTCTACTTCTAGGTATATACCTAAAACATTTGAAAACAGGAACCCAAACAGATACTTGTACTCTAATGTTCACTGCATATTATCCATAATAACCAAAAAGTGGAAACCACCCAAGTATCCATCTACAGATAAATGGATAAAAAAAATGTGGAATATCCATACAATGGAATATTGTTCAGCCATAGAAAGGAATGAAGTTTAAATATATTCTATAACATGGATGAGTCTTGAAAACATTATGTTAAGTGAAATAAGCCAGACACAAAGGGACAAATATTATATAACTCCAATTACATAAAATATCTTGAATAGAGAAATTCAGAGACAGAAAGCAGGTCAGAGATTACCAGGGGTTGGTTGGAGAAGAGAACAGAGAGTTATTGTTTAACAGTTACAGAGCTTCTGTTTGGAGTGATGAAAAAGTTTTGGAAATAGATGGTGGTAATGGTAGCACACCATAATGAATATAATTAATGCCATTGAGTTGTACACTTAAAAATGACTAATTTTATGTTATGGAAATATCTTGGAGATACTGTGGATTTGGTTCCAGACCACCTCGTTAAAACACACGTTGCAATAAAGCTAGTCACACAATTTTTTTTAGTTTCCCAGTACATATAAAAGTTATATTTACACTATAAATAGTATAGTCTATTAAGCATGCCACAGCATTATGGAAGAGTTTGAAATACTATGGGAGTCACCAAAATGTGACAGAGAAGCATGAAGCCAGCACATGCTATTGGAAAATGGACTTGCTCAACACAGGACTGCCACAAACCTTCAATCTGTGAAAAACACAATATATATGAAGTGCAACAAAGCAAAATCAATAAAACGAGATATGCCTTTAATATATATATATATATTTGCCACAATAAAAAAAGTATTTAATTGCTTGAGATAAAAATGTTGTGTTGTTGTTGTTTGCCGTCGAGTCGGCCCTGACTCATAGCGACCCCTCCTTGGGTTTCCAAGGCAGTATCACTACGGAAGTAGGATTGCCCAACCTTCCTTCCGAGGAGTGGCTGGTGGGTTTGAACCGCCAACCTTCTGGTGAGCAGTCAAGTGCCTTAGGCACTATGCTACCAGAGCTCCTGAGATAAAAATAGTGTGTACTTAAATAAACTTTATATAAGTTGTAACTGAGTTATTTGATGGTTAGTAAAAGAATACGTTTTTAAAATAGCCAGAGAAATGGCTACAGGGCCTAGGATGGGTAATGAAGGAAGGGTGGGATAAATAAGGGATAAGTGTTGAAGAAAAACAAAGTATCACAGCATATTATCTTACTTGTGGTAGGTGCTCAATTATTATTTTCGATAGGATGAATTCTTTTTGAATGAATGAAGTCACAACCTGGCCCAACTGGTCCTGCCTTGTTTTTATGTCACGAAATAGTTCTGGGCCTAGTCCCCTATGTATTTATTGCTTTCATCTTTTCCTTGTTGATTTCCTACTTAATGCTTCTTTTTAGATTTAACAATCTGGTGAGTTCATCTCAAGTGCTGCAGGCCAACCGAGCATACAATGAAAATGACGTGATCCTAATGAAATCCAAAATTAACATCATCCTAAAGCTCTATCTGCAATCTGAGGTCCCTCCAAGACTCAGGGTAAGAGGGACTCCCACTCTGCTCTGGTCTCTTGCCAAGAAGCAGTTGCTCCTACAGCAAGCCTGAATGCTAATTATCAAGCACCTCCTAAGTCCTGGACCCACCAGATGTACTTTACCTAGCAACCCCATGAAAAGATTCTCCTGCCTTCTGGAGAGGGGTGGTCCTAAGGGTCTTGGGAGCCAAGAGAGGTTTGTTACCTTCCCCCGAGCCTCTGCTAGTGATGGGTTTTCACTCTGTGGGTAGGTGAATATCTCTGAGGCCCAGAAGGAAGCCATCCTTGCTGCCATTTTGGAGGGGCACCTAGATCGGAGCATCTTCCATGGGGCTATCATGTCTATCTTCCCCACCATTATGTACTTCTGGAAAAGGTAACTATCTTCCTTTACCCCAGGACCACAAGGTCAGGAAAACACGTTTAACTTTTTAGAGAGCTTTCTGTCTTCCTCTAGATTTCTGTATTAGAGTCTACAGTTTCATGGAGGATGTCACACACTTTCAAACGCATCTTATCCTTCTTGTTATATTGTTATATCATTCTCTCTCCTTCACACTCTCACAGCACACTGAGTCAGAAGATAAAAGGCAGAATAAGACTGAGAATCAGAATGCCTGGTTCTCACCTCTCCTCTTCTTGTGCTTGTTTGGAACATGGGTGTTGGTTTCTCTTAGGCCTTATAGATGAGAGTAGAGTACAGTTATTTGGAGAGAAAATTCTATGAAGGTTAACATAGCTATGCTTGTGCTTAAGGACCTTCATGGAGGGAGTAAGCCAGAAAGAAGTGTTTTCCTCTGCAATGCCCCAAACTAGAAAAACCAAATTCATTGCCGTTGACTTGATTCCAACTCATAGTAGCCCTATAGGGCAGACTAGAAATGCCTTAAAGGCTATAATTCTGAGGCTGTAATCTTTATGGAAGCAGACCACTACATCTTTTTCCCACTGAGTGGCTAGTGGATCCAAACTGCACACTTTTAGGTTGACAACTGAGCTCTTAACCACTGTGCCATCAGGGCTCCCCTGTATTACCCAAATCCCCATAATCACCACTGAGGAGGCACAGTTGCCAGGTAGGCCAATTTTCAGCAGGAACTAGAAATTCAGAATTTTATGTCATATCTACTAAGGTTAAAGTAGCAAATTAAAACATGGTAGGTCCACTCCTCGGAAGAAAGGTTGGGCAATCTACTTCTGTAGTGATACTGCCTCGGAAACCCAAGGAGGGGTCACTATGAGTCGGGTCCGACTCAATGGCACATAACAACAACAACAACAGGAATCTATGAAGATAAAAACATAAAAACAAAAATGAAACAAACGAAATGTCTGCAGGCCAAATGCAACCCCTGACCCACTAGTTCTTAACCTGTGCTGTCAAGGTGTGGGCTGAGGCCCTGATCCATGGTTCTCCCAGCTGGTTATTTAGTCCTAAATTCTACCATGGTTCCAATGCATATCTTCCACCTGGTGACTGGCAGTGCCAAGGGGTGGTGACCAGAGGACAGCTGACTGAAATTTCCCCGGAAAAGACTAAATGTAATGTTGGGATTATTACACATTTCAGGCTCTTAGGGTTCCCTTTCCCCTATTAAAAAAAAAAAAAAAAAATGTTACTTTATTAAAATAGAAGTGTAAAGGCTGTTACTCATCACCAACTGTTTTGGTTCTCTAGTGCTGCTCTAACAGAATATACTACAAGTAGATGACTTGAACAAACAGGGATTTATTTTCTTACAGTTTAAGAGGCTAGAAGTCCAAGTTCAAAGTGTCATCTATGGGCTGGGTGAAAGCCCCTTGACCTTGGGCTTCAGCTCTTCCTCTTGTTCCCATTCCACTGAAGCTGAAGGCTTCTCTTAACTCAGGCAGCTGCTGGCTGCTGAGGCTGAAAAACTCAAGGTCAACAAGTAAAATGGCACAGTCCAAAGATTATCAAGCAATATGGCAGGCCATGAGTTAAATAGTCCCAAGATCGGCAAACAACATGGCAGACCACTAATGACTCAGCCAAACACAGGATCCAGATGTTCCAAGGAGCTCAGAGACCTTACTCGAAGCTTTTTCTTATGTACTGGAAGCAGACCACATCCTTAAGGCAGCTACTCAGCTGCTCACAGTAGATTCCACCATGGAGTTGATCACCAGTCTCATCATGGGAAATGACTATACCAAGATGCCCAGCCACTCAAAACCAGGCTCAGCCAAGTTGACACATAACTTTAACTACCACACCAACCATTATTTTTAAAACCCTAAGATAGCACAACATTTAATGCAGGATTGAAAGGAAATGTGTTCAAGATGGGGAGTTTAGCCTTTTTAGCATCAATTGTAATCTAGCACTGATTGATTTAATTTTCCTAAATGGGACTAAATAGAAATTTTTCCTGAAAATTTTTTGAGGATCAAGAACTTCTGGGGAATACGTGTTACTCCTGACTTGAGTCAGTGCTCAGCTCCACCACCACCCCCATAAGTATTTAGGAAGTTTGGGGTTGCTTCAGGGAGGTTTTGATTCCCTAAACCTCATGCTTTAGTTGCTTCCATATTTCACTTATTAAGAGCTTCATATTGTACAAACTGAGTTCACTATATTATTTCAGATGAACCTTCCAATGAACCTATGAGGTGCGTGGGGTAAAGAATTTTTTTAAGTAATATTTTATTGTGATTTGGGTGAGTTTATAAAGCAAATTATAAACAATTCATATGCATTTTGTTCTGTGATGATAATTGCAATCTCCACAATGTAACACTGCTCTTCCCACTTCCTCCCTGTGGTTACCATTTCCATTTGTCTTCCTTTCCTATCCCTTCATCCCTTCTAAGCTTCATCTCTGGGCAAATGCTGCCCTTTTGATCTCATATGGCTGGTTATTCTAAGCGTTACTTACCTCCCTGATGTATTGTTCACTTTATAGTTCTATTGTTTGGCTGAAAGTTGAGCCACAGGAGTGAACTCAGTTTCATGTCTGAAGGGTGTGTAAGGGCCATAGTCTTAGGGGTTCCACCAGTCTCTATTAGACCAGTAAACCTGGTCTTTTTTTTACGATTGTGAGTTTTGTTCCACTTTTTTATCACACTCTATTCAGGACCTCCTATTATGATCCCTTTCAGAGTGGTCAGCAGTGGTAGCTGGGCACCATCTAGTGCTTCTGGTCTCATGGTCGTGGAGGCTGGGGTTTGTGTGGTCATGAATCCTTTGAACTACTTGTTTCCATGTGTCTTTGATTTTCTTCACTCTTCTTTCCCCTAGACAGGGAGAAACCAATAGTTGCACCTTAGATGGATTGTCAATAAGCTTTTAAGTCCCCAGTTACTACTCACCAAAGTAGGATGTGGAACATTTTCTTTGTGAACTATTTTGTGCCAATTGACCTTGATGGCCCCTGGGATGATGGTCCTGATTCCCCAGGCCTAGCAACTCCTTTCCTCAAGGTGTTTGGCTATGGCTAAGAAGTTTTCATAATTTAGGGCAAAGAATTATTATCCCTATTTTACAGGTAAGGAAACTGAGGCTCGGAATGGTTAAGGGATTTGCCTAGATCATGTACTTAGTAAGTGTTAAAAAAACAGGATTAGAAACAAGGTCTCTCATTCTCTTGACTACAAATTATGCAGCCCTGACATACTGGCAGGTCCATGATGGGAGTGAGGCCCAATTCATGAATGGAATGAGAAATCAACTGTAAAAGACTAGGTTGCACCTTTGGGAGAGGATAGAGGTCAGTAGTTGAGACCACTGGTGCCAAGGTAGCATAGAAAATAAATCAGTCTCGTTGTTGTTGTTATGTGCCGTCTCAGCCAGGACTAATCTTCAGAGAGTGCAGTCTAAAGGCAGGCTGAGAATAGGGATAACTAGGGGCTAGGGGGATCAGGGAGGAAGAGATGGAGAGTGTTCATGAGGGCTTTCAGGGATCAACAATTCTCCGGATACAGTAAGTGTGTAAATCTGAGCCCATGTGAAGAACTAGAATCCTTTCCAGGGAAAGGGGCTGTTGGAATGAGGTAAAGGGATCAAGATTCTCAGTTAGGGACAGGATGGAAACTCAGGATTGAAACTTGAGAGGAGGCCAGTCAAATGCTCTGGCTGTACCAGGTGGAGTTGGATAAGGATACCATAGACTGATGCTCACATGAACACCCTAGGGACCAACACCACCCAGGCAGAGATATAGTAGACTCTTTACAGACTCTGTTCACTGGTGGAGAAGGAAGTTCTAACATACTGCCCATGCCAGGACCTTACGGGAGCCAGGTCTGGACAAAGAGAGTCCTCAGAGGAAGAGCCTCTGACAGGCAGCACTCCAAGGCTAGGGCTTTCTGCTTCTCTCTGTTCTACACCCAACCTCTTTTCCCATGTGTCTGATGTTCTAGTCTCCTCTGCTGGTGATTTTCTCCCTATGACCAGAGCCATTCTTCTCACAGGTTTTGTTCTTGGAAGGCAACCCAATATTACTTACAGTCCAGGAGGAAGAAGTTTAAGGATAAAAAATATCCTCCTAAACCTATATTCAAGTCCCCTCCTTGGAGCGGAGGTAAGCTCCACCATGACTCATAGCCCCATTTTCCAGAGAATGAGACTTGCTTGGGAAGAAAAAGTGAGGGCCCAAGGGAGCAGCTGTAAGATATCATAGAGGTTGTTTGCTAGAGAGGTAGGCAGGGACACTCAGTTATCTGTGACTAGCAAGAGGGCACCCCACCCATGTACCACTCTCCAGGGGTAACTCCCAGGATGCTTTGAGAATGCCTGTCACAGCCTACATTGTGGGTAAAGAGATAGCGAACTGCTTCACTGTTGCTTATGAAGCCCCTTGTTCCAATAAGCTCCATAAACCCCCCTATTTGAACATCATTTATTTTATAGTGATAAGTAAGAGAACAAAAAAAAATTAAAGCTTAAGTGTGATTTTAATGTGTTAAATATATACAATAAGCCCTGGTGGAGCAGCCATTAAGTACTCAGTTGTTAACCATAAGGTCAATAGTTCAAATCCACAAAGTGGCCCTGCAAGGAAAAAAAAAACTTGGCAATCTGCTTCTGTAAAGATTAATTCAAACCTGCTGCCATCTACTCAATTCCAATTCATAGTGACTCTATAGGACAGAGTAGAACTATCCTATAGGGTTTCCAAGGCTGTAAATCTTAATGGAAGCAGACTGACACATCTTTCTTCCACAGAATGGCTGGTGGGTTCGAACCACTGACCTTTTGGTTAGCAGCCGAGCACTTTAACAACTGCACGACCAGGACTCCTGTAATGATTATAGCCTAGGAAATCCTATGGGACCATTTTACTCTGTCACGTGGGGTCACCATGAGGCAAAATTGACTCAACAGCACTGAAAAATAGTAATAGCATCTATAGATATATACATACAAAACAATATACAATATATACATATTATATATGTAGTGTTGGTGAAGAATACTGACTATTCATGGACTGTGAAAAGCATGAACAAATCCGTTGTAGAAGTACAGCCAGAATTCCCCTTAGAAGTGAGGATGGCGATACTTCATCTCTTATACTTTGGTCATGTTATCAGGAAGGACAAGTCCCTGGAGAAGGACATCATGCTTGGAAAAGTAGAGGGCCAATGAAAAAAAAAAAAATCCTCAAAGAGATGAATTGACAGCATGGCTGCAATGACGAGCTCAAGCAGAGCAATGATTATGAGGCTGGCGTAAGACTGGCCAGGGTTTCATTCTGCTGTACGTAAGGGTGCTATGAGTTGGAACTGACTTCATGGCACCTAACAACAACAACATGTATATGTATACTTTTTCTGAAAGCGTAGGAAAAAAGCCTTGGAAATAAAAAGTATTATATTTTTTGCCTTTCTATATTGTCTACTTTTTATACCAAAACCAAACCCAAACCCACTGCCATACAGTTGATTCTGACACTTATGACCCTATAAGACAAAGTAGAACTTCCCATAGGGTTTCCAAGGTTGTAGATCTTTTCGGAATCAGACTGGGTTTGAACTGCTGACATTTTGATTAGCAACTGAAGGCCTTAAGCACTGCACCACCAGATCTCCTATATTTTATACACTAAGTATGAATTAGTCAGGAAAAAAGTGAAGGACAAAGAAAGAGGAAAGCGGTCCTTTTGGTGAAGGACAGCTGTGGAAGGATTAAGCACTAAGACCAATGTTAGCATGCACCCTTAGTACAGATGAGTTACACCCAGTTCCTTTCCCTGTCCTGGGTACTTCTGAGATCAAATTTGAACACTAGGGAATTTTGATGACAAGGAGGAGGGTACAGTACCTGGCAAAGGCAAAGGTAGATGTCCCTGCAGTGGAAAGTTCTGGGGACCAACAAGATCAGGTCTGTGTATCTGGGGGCAATGCCAACATCAGAACAAAATGGTGGTAGGACAGGAGTATTAAAAACAGCAACTAGTATTGTGTGTATGTGAGAGAGAGAGAGACATTACTGGTTGTTGACACACACTGGTTTGTATACAAAGAGGCAGGGATGACCCCAAAAGCCCCCAGAGAATTCCCAACAGCTGGCCATATTCCTCTTCCAAACAGGTTGCTGGGAAACAGCTTGTGTATAGTTTGAATGTCCAGGGTACCTCTATGCTATTGGAGTCCCCTCTTATCTCTAAACTGTGGCGTAAGATGAGAAACTGTGCAAAAGAGGTTCACAATATGTGTTTGAGCCATGCATATGTGCATACTCAGTGACCTCGCAACACAAAAACAAAACCAACACAACAGCAGCCAAATGCCCCATTATGGAGCTGAGCAACCTGCTGCTTCTGCGCAACCCTGCTCAATGCCTATATCTAAGTTCCACAGTATCCACCCCATCCTCCTACCAGCTCTTGTGAACAAGTATTCTGTCCCCTTCTTGGAGTGCAAAGGTGGGCCCTTGAGATCTAAATCAATCATAGCCTTGCTTGAACTGTTGGGAAGCAATGCTGGCTCACTGTTGAGCTCTTCCCAGCCCCTGCCTGTCCCCACCCCTCTGAGAGGGTCCTCACCTCACTAGGAAACCAATCACCTCCCTCCTTGTCTGCAGCAGCCTGATGGTCAATGAACATTATTTAGGATCCTTGTCTCTGCCTTGCAAATGTCACCTCAGCAGACGAAATCAGCAAGCTCTTCAATTGTTAGCTACTGTTGAGTGGACCCCAACTTGTGGCAATCCCATTCACAATAGAATGAAAAACTGCCATTCCTGTGCCATCTCCATGATCATCTGAAGATTGAACTGTTGTGATCCATAAAATTTTCACTGGCTGATATTTGAAAGTCGAATGCAAGCCTTACTTCCTAATTTATATTAGTCTGATGCTTCACTGAAATCTGTTCAGCATTATAACAACATGTTAGCCTGAGCTGACAGATGAATGGTGGCTGTGTATGAGGCAAAGGCCGGCAATCAAACCTGGGTCTCCTCCATGGAAGTAGAGAATTCTATCACTGAACCACCACTGCCCTTAATCTCTTTAGGACATGGGCTAAATGTCCCCCTGGGCTGGAGAGCTATTTAGGATGGTGGTGGAGGTGGAGGAAGAGGAAAGGAATAGTAAGAGAAAAAAGAGAGACAGGTGGCCAGTTGGGCAGGAAAAGTATGAAAATGTCCCTAGTAGAAGCCAAAGAGTTCACAGTGTTTGGTTTATTTCTTACATCTGAGCTCCAGGGAAGTAAATCCCCAAATGTCTTCTGGTATCAAAAGAAGAAAGAGCGCAGCAGTGTTCCCTGAATTAAATGCTTAAGTCATTTGGGTTCTAGGCCTGGAGATTCTTCATGTGTGGACTGAGTGACCTTAAGCACATTGTCTCCCCCTCACTTGACCTCAGATCCCTCATCTGAGATACAAACGGTTGGATTTACCTGATGTTATCACACTAGCACCCTGTAACATAAGGAATATGAGGAAACCACTTTCCTTGCTTATGTAGAATTATTTACTCTGTCAAGTGTTGCTATAAAAGTTTTGAACGCCCTCTGTCCCTTCTTTCTTTCCCAGGAGACCATGCTGTCCTGAGGTTCACCCTTCTCAGAGGTATTGAGTGGTTGCGCCCTCAGCAGCGAGAAGTGGCAGCAAGTCCAGTGGTCCAAAACTGTAAGTTTAGAGTGGGAACTCTATTGGTATTAAAAGTCCACTGCTCGATTAGAGGGTGATGTAAGGCCAGAGTATCCAGTCCCATTATTGACCATGAAGGAACTAAGATTCCCAAATATAAAGTGATTTGCTCAAGATCACACAACCTGTGAGTGGCAGAGATGGGCCAGAAAGTGGGTCTCCTGATAACTTGATGTTATCACACTAGCATCCTATAACATAAGGAATATGAGGAAACCACTTTCCTTGCTTATTTAGAATTATTTACTTTGTTAAGTGTTGCTGTAAAAGTTTTGAATGCCCTCTGCCCCTTCTTTCTTTCCCAGGAGACCATGCTGTCCTGAGGTTCACCCTCCTCAGAGGTATTGAGTGGTTGCACCCTCAGCAGCGAGAAGTGGCAGCAAGGCCAGCGGAGCTTGCTCTTTGCAGGGCTCTATCCACACACAGCTCTCATTTGAATAATCTTAAAGAGTCTTGATTCTTGCATAGCCTGGAAAGGCAGGTGCCTCAAACTTCTCTAAACCTCTGCTGATGCCTCTGCCTATTGCCAGGCATTATATGCATCTTTATTAAGAGACAATCATAACATCCCAAATATCACTTTCCTACCACACTGAGACCACCTGCTGGTTTGATAAGGACCTCTGTGGTGGTTATTCTTGTGTGTCAACTTGGCTGGGCCTGGTTGAGTGGCTGGGCAGCTGAATGTGGTCATTCCCCATGGTGAGATTGGTAATTAACTCCATGGTGTAATCTATTGAAGCAGCTGAGTAGCTGCTTTGGATATGTGGTCTAAGCACATACCCAAAGTATGTGCTTTGGGTATATAAGAAACAGCTTTGGGAACGATCTCTAGCTTATGGCACACTTGGACCCTGCATGTAGCCTGTCATGCTCTGCTGACCTTGGGTCTTACAATGAACTTGAATGAATGGCCTGTCGTGTGGTTTAGTAACATCTGGACTATTGAGTTCATATCAAGGTATCAGCAGGACTGCATTCCTTTTTGGAGCATCTGAGGGAGGATCTTATTTCTTGCTAAATTGGCAGCATTCAGTCTCTTGAATAAATTCAGGGAATTCAGTGTGATGGTTCTTTGGCAGTTGTAGGGCTAAGGTCCCCCTGTCAGCTAAGAGCTATTCCCAGCTTCTAGACGCTGCCTACATACCTTGGCTCATGACCTCCTTCCTCCATCTTCAAAGTTAACAAGAGTGGATTGAATCCCCTTCACACATCAAATATCTTCTTCCATCACTGCATCTCTGTTGGCCACTCTTCTACTTTCATCTTCTACTTTTAAGGGCTCGTGTGATGATAAATAATCAAGAATACTCTCTACATTAAGGTCCTTAATTTGATTCCACCTGCAGAATTCTTTCAGCTGTGTAAAGTAACATATTCACAGGCTCCAGGGGTTAAGGTAGGGATGTCTTGTGGGGGTGGAGGAGGAGGGACATTATTTTGCCTACCACAGTCACAAGACCACTTTCCCAGAGAATCTCTGTGATATGATTACAGCCTCCTAGAGCCCTGGTAGCATAGTGCCTAAGGCACTTGACTGCAAACCAGAAGGCTGGTGGTTCAAACCCACAAGCCACCCCTCAGAAGGAAGGTTGGGCAAACCTTACAAGACATTCTAAAGGGAGTCCTTTGATCAGAGAAAATAGCAAATAACAACCGACCATTAATACACAAGATAACATAACCCAGAAACCACAGCAACGGACATATCCAAAGTAAAATGAGCTTACAA